CAGAACTCTCCAGTTAAGCGTGTTTAGGCTGGAGTAGTTCTGGGATAGGTGACCTACTGGGAAGAACAAATCCATACGAGCGTGGCCCAAAGTGGGCAATATCGATGACGTATGAAGGGTTAGGGCATTATAGTAGTGCTCACGTATAAGCCAACTGCTCGAGCGGTAAAACTTGTCTCCCAAAATTTCAAAACGCAAGCAGAGCTATTGGATGAATCACTTTACCGCTCGAATGTACAAAAAAAGGCTCAAGCGATTAATCAACTGTGACTTCTATTTTGGCTTTGGTCTCCATACTTAGTCACCGAAGTGACAGATAAGGAATACTCAAGTCAAGGAATGGAATTTTAGCACAAACTCCTCTGTACAAACACAACTTGGGTTGGATTCGCATATAAACGCTCATAATTCACAGATACAATAGAGCGAATAAAAATATCATTGAAATGAGTTTTATTCAACGGGATTGCCAATAATAAAGACTTAAGAGTGTAGTTTTGAAAATAATTTTTAAGAACTCAAAACTTAAAACTTGTTTATCTCAAAACTCCTTTCAATCACTTTCTTTTCTTTTCTTTTAATTTTATTTTCTCATTTCGTCTTCTATTTTTTTAGTTTTTTTTTTATAACTAAAATAGCCAATAAAGACAAAATATAGTAAAATAAATAATAAGATAAAATATTACATTCAACTCATAATTATTTTATTTTTTCTCGCACAACCATTAAATCAACTACAACAACAAAAAACAAAAAAAACAATTATGTTCCCAAACATAAAATAGCCAAATAGCCAAATAGCCAACTTTCCAAATATTGGAAATGGAGGGGGAGTTCCTGAGCTATAAAAGTAAAAACCTAGACCCTTATATAGCATCGAGGCCTTTTCTCGGGTGGTGAAATCCCTAGTAGAACTCTCCAGTTAAGCGTGCTTAGGCTGGAGTAATTTTGGGATGGGTGATCCACTGGGAAGAACAAATCCGTACGGGCCTGGCCCAAAGCGGATAATATTGATAACGTGTGAAGGGTTGGGGTGTTACAACAGTGCTTATGTATAAGCCAACTGCTCGAATGGTAAAACTTGTCTCCCCAAAGTTTAGAATGCAAGCAGAGCTACTGGATGAATCACTTTACCGCTCGAATGTACTAAAAAACGCTCGAGCGGTTAATCAACTTTGACTTCTTTCTTGGCTTCGGTCTCCATACTTAGTCAGCGAAGTGACAGATAAGGAATACTCAAGTCAAGGAATGGAATATTAGCACAAACTTCTCTGTACAAACACAACTTGGGTTGGATTCGCATCTAAACTCTCATAATTCACAGATACAATAGAGCGAATAAAAATATAACTGGAATGAGTTTTGTTCAACAGGATTGCTAATAACAAAGACTTAGGAGTGTAATTTTGAAAATAATTTTTAAGAACTCAAAAATTAAAACTTAAAACTTGTTTATCTCAAAACTAGTTTCAATCACTTTTTAAAAATTAAAAAAAAATTATTTTATTATCTCATTTCGTCTTCTATTTTTTTAGTTTTTTTTTTTTTTTTGTGTGACTAAAATAGCCAATAAAGACAAAATATATTAAAATAACCAATAATATAAAAATATTACATTCAACTCATAATCATTTTATTTTTTCTCGCACAATCATTAAATCAACTACAACAACAAAAAACAAAAAACAACTATTTTAGCTAGGCTAAAATAGCCAAATAGCCAACTTTCCAAACAAGGCCAAAATTTCTAACTACAAAACTCCAACTACAAAATTATTTCAAAATATACAACCAAACAAGTTTTTAAAATTTGAAAACTCTTTTCAAAAACCTAGATGATGTGGCATGTGGCTCGTTCTATCACAATGAAGTGTTCTAAAAAGGCTATAGTATACTTTTTTCATTGTACCACCCAACAAAACCCAGCTAATGTGGTATGTGACATATTCCATCACAAACGTTTTAAAAAGACAATAGTATAATTTTTCCCTCCGTGACATTCACTTTTTCCCATTGTAATAATTAGTAAAAATCCAACAAAAAGTTAAGAGAGTGCTAATGGGGCATGTTTCACCACAAAAAATGATTCTAAAAAGGCTATAGTATATATATTTTTTCATTATGATACCCATTTCTTACCATTGTAACATCTAACAAAATATTAAATTTATCATTACACATTCAATAAGACCAAACCAACCTAGATGATGTGGCATGTGGCTCGTTCTATCACAATGAAGTGTTCTAAAAAGGCTATAGTATACTTTTTTTATTGTACCACCTAACAAAACCCAGCTAATGTGGTATGTGACATATTCCACCACAAACGTTTTAAAAAGACAATAGTATATTTTTTCCCTCCGTGACATTCACTTTTTCCCATTGTAATAACTAGTAAAAATCCAAACAAAAAGTTAAGAGAGTGCTAATGGGGCATGTTTCACCACAAAAAATGATTCTACAAAGGCTATAGTATATATATTTTTTCATTATGATACCCATTTCTTACCATTGTAACATCTAACAAAATATTAAATTTATCATTACACATTCAATAAGACCAAACCACACATAAGGAATATTTTGAAAGGGTTAGGCTTGTATCCCGTCTCAGATCGGATTGGAGTGTGAGGTCTATTGGGGCCAACAACGGGTTTTGTTTTAATAATTCGAATCATCTAGTGTGTAGAATTCGTCGAATATTTTAAAAAATTATGTTGATCAGATATTGATAGTTGTTTGATCGAATCACATTTTTGTCAACGATATAATTTTTAAAATAAATTATTTGACAAAAATCTGATTCGATTAAGTAGCTATCGATATCCAATTAACGTTATTTTTTACAAAAATAAAATACTTAACAAATTTTACATATTTAACGATTCAAATTATTAAAATAAAATCCATCATAAACCGTACAAACCTAACAATACACTCTAATTCATCAAGTCAACTTAAAACAAGCCTGCCTATCTTCAAGGTATTTCAGTCCCAATTTCAACCTTTAATATTCATGCATCAATCACCTTATTTTTTTATAAAACTCTAAAATCAAGAGTAGGAGGGAATCGTGCCTTCTTGTTTCTTTGAATCCGTAAATCAAAGCCGTTACCGTCGGATCTTTTATTACTTTTTGCCTGCAATCATTTCAAACAAAGACTTCCCAATAGAAATTGACTTGTTCGGCGGTATTTGATTTATAAATGTAATTTTAAAAAGGAAAATAAAAAAATAAGTAAAATATAATTTTTTTAATTTTATTTTTAAAATTTTTAATCAAATTCATAAAACAAACCTAACCTAAAAATAAATTTAGAAAGTCAAGTTAATTAGAAAGTTAAAAAATTAAACATGAGGAATTAAAAGATATTTTATTATGGATCTTGATAAAAAATATTGCATATTTTTAGGACATTCAGGTCATAAAATTAAGAGTAAATTACAAATACACCTCTTGAGATTTGATTAAAATACAAATTGCCCCATGTGATTCTAGAAATTTCATTCCACCTCTTGAAGTTTTTAAGTTCACAACAAATCGCTCATTTTATTAATAAATTATCAAGTCAATTAACAGTTTTTAATGATGTTATAAATATGTTTCAATTAATAATTTAGGTAATTTTATTATTGTATAGGAGATCCATTATAAATTTTTTTTTTAGTTAATTCTGCTAAAAAGAAAATTTAACACGGGAGTTATTTGTAATTTTTTAAACTATAGGGAACAATTTGTACTTTAATCAAATCTCAAAGAGTGTATTTGTAATTTAACCTAAATTTAAACTGTAATTTTATAAGACAAGAGATCCAGGCACTTAATCAATTTGTCCAAAAGTACAAGTTCAATTAAAATGATCAAAATAACCTTTTTATATATTTGTTTCAATTAAAATGATCAAAATACCCTTCTTATATATTTGTTTTTATCTGTTAAAATTATTTGTTAAAAAAATAACTTATATTACTTTCCTAAGAAATATATATATATATATATACATAGAATATAAATTACTCGATTCAGTCAAGATTGAAGGAGAATTTAACATTAAACCAAAATTTTCAATTTTATTAATTAATAAATCACAACTAACCGCAAGATACAACTATGTTTTATCACTTTTGTGTAGAGAAAGATTATTTGTAATTTTTTAAACTATAGGGAACAATTTATACTTTAATCAAATCTCAAGGAGTGTATTTGTAATTTAACCTAAATTTAAACTGTAATTTTATAAGACAAGAGATTCAGGCACTTAATCAATTTGTCCAAAAGTACAAGTTCAATTAAAATGATCAAAATAACCTTTTTATATATTTGTTTCAATTAAAATGATCAAAATACCCTTCTTATATATTTGTTTTTATCTGTTAAAATTATTTGTTAAAAAAATAACTTATATTACTTTCCTAAGAAATATATATATATATATATACATAGAATATAAATTACTCGATTCAGTCAAGATTGAAGGAGAATTTAACATTAAACCAAAATTTTCAATTTTATTAATTAATAAATCACAACTAACCGCAAGATACAACTATGTTTTATCACTTTTGTGTAGAGAAAGAATTCTCATATGATTTTAAAAAGTTTTATAATGAAGAAAAATGATAAAAGCTGTTCTATAAATACTTCAATTTTAAATATTTTTTTAACAAAACTTAAATTACTTATGTTCTAATACTTAAAAATTAAAATAAAAAAAGTATTTAGATAAAATATTTCGGTCAATTTAATTTGTATTGGTGTAAAACTGAAACAACCCATAAATTATAAAAAAACAGAAGGAATCTTGAAATTTTGGTTAGTCTTGAATTGTCAATTTGATTACATCAATTTTATTTACACTGCTATATATAGATTAGAAGTGACAAAGTCAATCCAAACCCCTAAAGTTGTCCAATACACCATTTAAAATCTCTTTTAACTGAAGTTTAAACGCGTTATTGGCAAACAATGAGTCAAAAGGCAATTATTGACAAACCAAAGATTAGAACTTTTCACTTAGTACATTAAGATTCTTATATCTTACACCACATAATTTTTTCCAATCAAAAGTCAAGCAAATGGTGACAGTGCCTACCCAGAAAAAATACTTAAAAAATATTCAAAATTTGAAATATGCAGACGAGATCCATTTGGGTATTAGTTCACACCCCTACCAAAGTTTGAATCTACAGTCATACACTTTACTTTTTGAATGTATCTAGCCTATTTTTTTCTTGGGTACAAAGCATTTTTGACCAAAAAACATTAAAATAAAAAAAAAATAGTAATTAAAGATATGTCAGCATGAAGAAAGAGTTGCATCGCACATAACTTGCATAGCGTTTCCCACTACTGGCAGTGGATTCAGGGAAGAAAAGACTCCCTGCATTGATACTGAACAGATTGACCCAATTTGCCATGCTTAATTACTCGTGGTTTGTGGAGGAACAAACTTGTATCTACATAGAGAACTAACAATGTTGTAGTTGTCACAAACAGGCAATGTTGCCTGCGAATGGCCTCATGCAGAGTTACCTTTCACTGTAAAGTATGGTTGGCCAGTCCCATGGATTCAGCAACTTCTCTAGAGGAAAAAGAATCAGCTTGTTCCTACTCATTCCACAGAACATGCATTAGTAGACTGTAAATAGTAGATATTCACAAATCCAAGTTTCAGTAAAAAAAGAAAAAAAAAAGCTGCCTCTCCTCTGAATTAGAGGATTTGAAAACAGGATTAATCAACAGCTAGAACGCCAATAATCACAACAACAAAATGCTTAGGCACTCATTGGTTAACTTGGATATGAAATTGGTCCACATTCATCGTTGTTTAAAATACGAACACCATAAGTTTAAACCTCCATTCCAAACATACATTCAAAATAGAGCACCATAAGAAGTTTTCATTACCACCGTTTTTCAAGACTGACTGTCCCTCTGTATATGAGAATCTAATATATGCGTCTGTGGTGCATGTGGCATGTACATTTCTCTTTGTTATACATCCTGTACATCTACTGTTATTTTTTGTTTAACAAAATGGTCATTGTGCTCATGATCAATAAAGTGTCCTCCATGGTAGTTTTCAATAGATAGACCTATCATTAATGCTAACATAAAAAAAAAAAACTGAGACAGAATTTGGAGATAGCAACATATTCATACCTGCAGACGATGAAGCAGATACATCAAGAAAAAATGCACAAATACCTGTGGATAACTCAGCATGGTCATCATGCAATTCAAAGCACTATTAACGATTTTTAACAACTAGACTCTTTCATTGAAACAGGAAATCCCAAAAAATAAAATAAAATAAAATAATTGGTGATATATTATATATTCTCACCAAATAGAAAAGCAGCAGGATTCGAGCAATTGGATATCGCCACAGAAATCGTGTGGCCCTGACAGCCCCAGAATCTAGAAGTTTTGCTGCATTCTGCAACTGCACCAGACAAGTTTAACAGAATGAGAAAAGAACTATAGGTGGCAAGACTGTAGTGAAAGAAAAGAGCAGTGCTGACCTGAATGCTTGCCCCAACCATATGGCGGTGATACAAGGGAAGAGGCCTGCAATTACTATTTATGAGAAAAAAAAGGAGAAAAAAAATACTAGTTTCACTTTTAAAGATGATTAAAAACAAATGATTAGGCCATATGCATGCAATCTTATTCTGCTACGAAATGGCTGTTCTCATTTATTTAGGAACTAAAACGAGAAAGGCACGGGTTTATGACTGGCAAAACATTCCAGAAATAAGTAATGAATACAAAGCTTTTACAGGATGTAACCAAATTCCACCAAGGATTGATTGTCCTTACAATTTTATCAGAATACTATCAATCAGTTAAATCTAACTACCAAGTAAGAAGCACAGACATGGAACAGACACAAATACAAAAAGGATGTCAGTAATCTTATCACAACAAAGCACTCTCTGGTGGCATGGAATATCTTTTTTTTTTGGCCAGAATCTCCGAGTAATGTCTCTGTTAGATTCTCGGGTACCTCACTTCATTTATTATTTAGTTCAGTTTCGGTATAGGTTTATTATGTAAAATCAAATTTCAATACGAACAAAGACAAATTTAGAAACTAAAAAATAATACAAAATGTAAAACTCAAACAATGACAAGGTAAAATGCAATTAAAAAATGAAGGAATAGATCATATTTCAACATGTTTTAAGAATATACAGAAAACATGAAGCACATTGACAAGTTCTATTCAATCAGAGAAGAGAGAAACATACTCAAGTGTTTTCATGTCAGTGTCTTCTTCCCAAGATGATGATGCTCGACGAGAAACTCTGCTCCTTTCTGCTTCTACCTGCTCAATTAAGCAATAAAATTATATGCATAAGACAATTTAGATCGTGTAAGATTCTATCCCCACCATCTTACTGTGAATGGTATCACTCTCCCCACGTGGTAGGGCAGGTTTGACCGAGCATCAATAGGGACAGACCTGAGCTTCTTGAAGACGCTTCATCTCCTTCTCCAATTGAAATTCTGCTGCAGCTTTTTCGCTAGCCATGGCTTCCAACTGTGTTTGCTTGTAATACTGAAACATACATATGATTAGTCAAACAGTGAGTCATCATAAGTTAGCAATGATAATAATGATTGAATGACATTAACTTTGAGTTTGACATACCAACAGATCAGTTAGTTCACGGTACCGTTTCTCCAGCTCCATATGCTCCTGTCAAATGGTAGCCATAACACCTAAGGGTGATTATCAAGTAAATGACAAACTACTATTAAAAATTTCCAAAATATTTACTGAAAACAAATAACATAATAAATTAAAATGTAAAAAGCGAATGAAAACAGAGAAAAAGAATAACCAAATAATTAAATTTACTTAACTCATATATCAACCTTCAAGAATAGAGGGATAACAACATATAGAAAATTGCAAGTGTAACTGATGCAGAAACAAAGAGGAAAGACGTTCACAGTACATTAGTTCAGTATAGGATCATTTTGGAAATATTTCTAGTTAGGGAATTGCCAGGACTCACACTAAATGCCAAAATGGAAGCAAGATCCATTTTCAATGTATATAAAAAAGAAAAGGGATGAGTTGACGAGAAAAATTTCCATGGTGTATGCTTTTTGCAGACGATATTGTACTAGTGGATGAGACTAGAGAAGGAGTTAACACAAAGTTGGATATTTGGAGAAAAGCTCTTGAATCTAAAGAATTCCGGATAAGCAGAACTAAGACAGAGTACATAGAGTGTAAGTTTAATAATAGTAACAATGAAAGCAGAGGAGAAGTGAAGATTGAGAACCAACAGACGATATCGTGCTAGTGGATGAGACTAGAGAAGGAGTTAACACAAAGTTGGAGATTTGGAGAAAAGCTCTTGAATCTAAAGTATTCCGGATAAGCAGAACTAAGACAGAATACATAGAGTGTAAATTTAGTAACAGTAACAATGAAAGCAGAGGAGAAGTGAAGATTGAGAACCAAAAACTGCCTAAGAGTGAACATTTTCGCTATTTAAGGTTAATTATCACAACAGCGGGGGAGATTGATGCGGATGTGGCCCATAGGATTAAGGTAGGATGGTATAAGTGGAGAAGTGCGTCTGAGGTATTGTGCGATAAACGAATACCCACTAGACTAAAAGGTAAATTCTATAGAATGGCTATTAGACCAGCGATGTTGTATGGAACGGAGTGTTGGGCAACCAAGAAACAACATGTAGATAAGATGAGTGTAGCTGAGATGAGGATACTCAAGTGGATGTGTGGCAAGACTAGAGAAGATAGATTTAGGAATAAGTGTATTCGAGAATGGGTAGGAGTAGTACCGATAGAAGATAAATTGAGAGAGAATCGATTGAAATGGTTTGGTCACATTCAACGGAAACCAACAGAGACAATAGTGAAAAGATGCGAAACTGTAACGGTAGATGGGAGTGTTAGGGGACGGGGTAGGCCTAAATTAACGTTGGCTAGCATTGTAAATAAAGATATGGATCTACTTTGACTAACAAAATGGCCTTTGATAGAGCCGCGTAAAGAAGAATGATTCATGTAGCCGACCCTATTTGATGGGACTTAAGACTTGTTTTGGTTTGGTTTGGTTTGGTTTATAAAAAAGAAAAGGAATGCAAGGAAAAAGTCACAATACCAATGAGTTCATCCTTCCATCACCAATATATGACAGTTATTGCATTGAAAGCTTTCATATCAAAACACTAGTACATGGTTTCTCTTGCGTGCCTTCAGATGATTGCTGTTTCCCTTCTCTGTTTATAACAGAGCCGCCTCGCACCAGTTTGTTGTATTCATACAAAAGCTTTGCTCTAGTCCTTTATGTCCAAAGTTCATTCAAGCGGGTTTCACTTCTATAAGATTTATTTATTAATATATATTTTTTTAAACATTGTAACCCACAAACATCTCCATGTCAGTAAAGAAGCAAGCCGGTTCAAAGTGAAGTTTCATTTATTTTTTATTTATTTATGATAAGTGTTTAAGATTCAATATAGTCCAATAATTTTGAGCAAAAAAGCCCATCACAGAGTTGTATTCATTTATACTTTTGTATATACGTTAATTTAATAATAAGTAAGAAGCATGTGACTAGCTAACTATAGTGATATACATCAAGGATTTCAACTTCCTCCCTGGTGTGAAACTTGGCATGGATAAAAATGTATGAAGTATAGTTTTTAAGAAAACGTCCATTTTGATGGTTTATTAGTTAACTCTCGACTAGCAAAAAAAAAAGAAAAAAGAAAAAAGAAAAAAGCAACCATGTCAAGTGAAATTTCAAGAAAAAAATTACAGATTCCTCGGTCAGAGTTTGTCTGTTACCAAAGTCCACATAAAAAACACAATTACCTATTTTCCCTTCAATACCAAAGATTACTTAACTACTGATACGAACCCCTTGGGTAGAACTCACCATTGAAAACCGGCTTGTAAGGGGAGAGTGCCCAAGAGTTTTACATGCACATGGCCACGGCCTATGTTAATCGATGTGGGATCGTAACATATCACCCCGCTCAATACCTGAATCCTTTGCCACAGAGATCACTGTAGACTGAGATGCTGATAAAAAAAATCACTGCAGAATCAGACTCAGGTTGGTGTGGTGGGGTGGGGTGGGGTGGGCTGGGACGTGGGGCAGAGACAAAAGCAATTGCATCTCGACTCTGTAAAGCACTACAAGGAGAAGTGAAATGCACAGAGAAAGATGGGTACAGGTTCTCAGAAAGACCTGTGACTTAATGATCGATCTGGGCCAAGGTAGAGCAGAATGGGAAAAGAGGAAACTTCCAGCCCAATCCCAAAATTTGAATGTTAAATTCCTTCTTCAGAACATACCGTGCCTTAATTTAATTCAAGATGAGAAAAAAGCTCTTACAGAAGTGCGATGCTGGGAAATTAGCATAACCAACCAGAAGATGACCACATATCAGAAACAGGGTGATAAAAGAGAGATTGCTTACTTGACGTGAATAATGCTCTGCATCTCTCTTCATGGCAGACATTTCGACTCTCATTTTTTGCACTTCAGCCTGCAAATAAGTATACAACATAAAAAGTCCTTAAATAGTCTTGAAACATCAGTTTGCAACGTTTCAAATTTATTTATTGTATAATAATAAAAATTAGATGTTGGAATCAACTCCCAATTGACATCTCCAAATAAACAGCATTCAGTCTTCAATCGTGTAACTTGATTAAAGATAACAAGTAACACATGTACAGGAACATCACAAGAAACTTGCCTCTAAAGAAGAAAGCTTGCTCTCAGCATCTCTCTGACCTTGCCGAGCTCGCTCCGCTTCTTCCTGCCATGCCTGCATCTTCATATTCAGAAGATGAAGTGGTTAGATGGATATGTACTACTATAGCACTCTTCTATTGGTGAAAGATTAAATTATAGTTGTATTATTTTTATGGAGCATAAAGGATATAAAAACTATGAGAATTACACTTGAAAGAAAAAATAAAGAGGGCAAGGTATCAAACTGTTTCAATATGAAAGACCCACATTGTAATCCTAGATTTGAAGTCTCAACACTAAATTAAAATCTTGCTTTAAAGTAGAAGCTTTAAAAAAATAAATGATGGATATATAAATTGATCGCAAAAATTTTTTCTTGAGAAATTCTTCAACCTAAAAAGAACATGGTAATAGAAACTCGAAAAAAGGTGAGGCTTGAACTTAACGGAAGAGCATTATAATTTTTTGGTGAACAGATTCTCAGAACTAAAGATTTCATAAATGTTTTGTTATTGGTCTGATAGTTTGAACTCAAATTTAATTATATTATAAAAATATCATATATTAATCAAAATATATGCATAAATATATATTTTATATAAAGCACAAACTTCAAAACCACAGAACCAAGTAAATTATGTGAAACTCATTACGTATTTTGTTTACAAATTCATAAAAATGGATGCTGGCCAAACAGTTTAAATTTGTGTACCTGAATCATTTGATTCGCATCTTCAGGACACTTCTTTTGTCCACGACGAGCACGGGCTTCCATATCTTGTAGCTCTTGATTCAAGGATGCACATTCAACCTGATGGCAGATGATGAAGATTATGTGGACTTACATATCAAGAATGCAAAATAAACCTACATTTTGAAGAACTAAAGATACCTCCAACAATGCCACCTTCTGCTCAAGTTCTGCCACCTTAGCTGTTCTTTCATCCGCTGTTCTCTAAGGGAAGCAATGAACAAAATTAAATCAAGACTGTAGAAATATAAGTCAAATTATCAAATGCATCATGACAAAGTCACTAGAAAGAAGAACACGCATTAGCTACAATGAAGCACGGACACAAACACGAACACACAAACACAAGATAACACTAATCTCTAAAGTTTAAATGTGAAGGGATTAATAGGCATCAATCTACATTAATTTTCTTTTATCATTGTATCTTAAGCTATTTTGTTCAAACTTAAAATGTGTTTCATGTAAGAGTATGTCTAAACGATGGACACACGTGTTCCCCAAGTGTCCAAAGTAAAAATAAATAAATAATAAAGACTGGTTTGGACGAGTGTTTGACATGGGTCGGGGAGTGTCCAACGAGTGTCTCTAGCATACATTACTGCTCTTTATATTTCCACTCTTTGCTAGGCATCGATTTAGGTTTATCTCATTCTGTCTCTCTTTCAATATGGTTAAGTGCTAGAATTGAGAAAACAGCAATAATAAGAACTTCCAAATATCAGACATACCACAACAGGTAAAAGACCGACCTAAGCCTATTAGGAATTTCAGATAAACATGCGCCTTTCAATATTCATGTTCAGGCTCATTAAGCTCTTATAATTCTTATATTCCAGCAACTAAAACAAGAACCATGAAGGAGATAATTTGAAAAGATATCAGGCATCTGAACAGATTACCAATTTCAATACCACAGATGACAAGGAATAATCGCAACAGAATATGCATATCCTAGATACAAGAACAGGATAAACTTCTTGACATTTGACTTTGAGTTGTTATAGACACAGAAAGTTATGCATAGACATCTCAGAGTCCCAATCCACTGATGGTAAGAGCTTAAGGATGAACAAGTTCAAAAAGATTGAAATATTCTCAATTGACACATTGATGGAGCAGGCACAATATCACCGTAATACAAGTTTCTAGCAAGATACGAATATGGAAGAGAGTACTGGAAATACAAACATGTTTAATTTATATAAGAAACAATAAAGCGACACTTCAGACAATGAATCACAAAAATGACAGGTTCCTACAATACCTGAATCCTGGCTAGGGCTGTGGATGACTCAAGAGCTCGATGCTCCAATTCTACTTCCCTTTCCATAGCAGCCTGTTTAATCATATAAATTATGTGTGTTACAACAGGACAAAAAAAAAGAACATAAATTTTAGAAGAAGAATGCAGGTATAGAAAATAAATTTTAGAAGAAGAAGAATAGAAGTATAGAAAATAAATTTTAGAGATTAACCATCTTTGTAGCATTGTGTGCAGCACGCTCTTCTTCTGCTCTCCGTTCTACAGAAGCCAACTCCTCCCTTACAGCCTGGAAGACCATCCCCCCCCCCGCAAAAAAAAAAAAAAAAAAAAAGAGTTCTGATCAATATTGAAATTCTACACTAAAACTAGCTGCAAAGGTATGCTAGGGATCCATAAGGTGAACTTCCATGTGGACAAAAACCAGACAGCTTACTTGCATCATCCTTGTCTCTGTCAGTTCCCTATTTCTCATTATAGACTCCATGTTAGCCTGATAAAAAGTAATGGTGCAGTGTTACAAAAACACAAGGATGAAGCGTTACAAAAAGTTACAAATATATAATGAATCTAAATCAGAGCCACAACAAGACTGCATATAAATATTAAAAAATAAATAAATTAAAAAAGGTGTTCAAATTAAAAGAGAAGATAAAAGAAAGCACTCTATAATATAATTCCCAATAGAGTGTACTTTGTTTGTACCAAAGGAAGCGAAAAAATTAACGCTATGTTTAGTTAGGGGATTTGGGGAGGGATTTGGAAAGGGAAAGGGAAAATGTGTGTGAAACTAGGTGACATATAAGTATATTTTATTCACATTTCACCTACATTTTCCATTTCCCTTTCCAAATCCTTCCTCAAATCCCCCAACCAAACACACCATAAGTGATAAATTAGTATGACCACTTCTAGAGATGAGCACTATGTCTTTGAAATTGACCCATTTTCAATGCTCTGAGAAATGTTTCCCACACTTCTTTGCCATGTTCATAATTTGGAAACTAAATTTGCAATTTTAGAAACTTCGACGACAATTCTTGGACACCCCCCTTCCCTGAACAGATAACCTCACCCTTGCTAAAGGGATTCATGATCAATTTCTTGGAAATAAAATAGCCTGTCCTGAATGTGCCTTAATTTTATTCTAAAAGTAATTTGAAGCATGCAATGGACACTTCCAGCATAAATTAAATAAAAAAAATGGTTATAAAGGATAATTTAGCTAAGTAGTGGCACTACAGTAGTACTATTATGCATTATATCAGTTGCATTTGTTGACCTTCTTATTCTGTGTCATGCAATAAGCAATATCAAAATATATATAATCAATCAAATGTACATAAACAGAAAATATATTAGTTTATTGTGGTGTCCTTTTTCAGTATTTTCCATTTCAATATGTCCGTATGCATAGTTGAAGCATTTGATATGGTGACAGGTTCTACAGCATGTTGAAAAGGTTGACATCAATAGTTTCTACACAAAAATCAAAGTTTAGCAGTCTATTCATGCCATTTGTCAAATATGTAGCTGTCAACAAACTGAGGTTCTAATAAAGATAGTAACTTAGAAATATAACTAGTAATTGAAGTCTGCTGGCCTTCACTTTAGTCAAGTTGCAATTGTTGTCACGTTATGGTTCATTACTTCAATTCTTAATTCTGAAAATATTATTTTCTTTTGACAAGTAATTAACATTACATACAAGCCAAATCCACTAGATTAGATGAAACTGAAAAAAAAGTGACTCTTATCATTTAGACAGACCATTTGAACTCTTTTAAACCCTCATGAGCATAGCTGTTAGTAACTTGCAATTGACAATATGATCATATGATACAAAATGTTTTATATCTACATTACAGATAAGTATTGCAGCTTCTCAGTTTGTCAATGAAAAGCCATAATAACAGTTCATATCAGGATTTCTATCCTTTGTAACACAGGACATGATTCCATCACTAAAATATTAGTCCAGGAACACTGTTCTTAAGAGTTGGCTGATAGAGATTTGACTTGGAATCTCTAGGCACACACCCTTCCTCAATCAAGTCGCAAAACATTAAAAATTTCAATGGAAACTGATCCAACTTACACAATTAGATATTGTACTGTGAGATGTATTGTGAAATGACTTGGTGCTAGCCATGATACACGTCTGCATCAGTCATTGGTTATCCAAACTCCAAGCTTCCACACAGTCATTTCCTTTTTACTTTCATTCTTAACCCACACATCTTATAGACATCAGGCAGTCTTTTGCCATTGGCTTCTCATTCTGTTTCACCAAGTCTTATTTTACTTCTCATTCTTCTTATATTGTGCTTTTGCATTGGCCGTCAAATCAATTAAAACCTATTATGTATTAACCATCAAACAAACTGGGCTCTTTCATAGTTCAAATAAGAATACACTAACTTGATCAGTTAAGCTTATTTCGCACCATATGCATAAGTCTCAAAATGAATACTAAGTATCTATCTGTTAGTAATATTGAGTTAGTAACTCTCTAGTTGTGTTACAACACATCTTACATATGGTGTCTTTTGTTTGCCTCTTGAAAGTTTATAAAATAATGTTTTAGAATTTTATGAGCCCTTTGCTTGTAGTTTGATTCAAACCTGATACACAGTGAACAAGTCATCTTGGAAGCCCTTGAGGTGGTGTTTCATAAAACCGAAAGCTAAAAACTGAAAATTAAGTACTGAAAAATGAATGCTGAACTTTTTAAACTGAAAAATTGTTTAATGAAACTGTCAAGTGCTGAACCAAAACAAATTGTTTGATATGTACAAGATGAAATTTGAGTTTTATTATTTTCAAATTTTCCCAACCAATTTTTATATCGTGGTGGTGAGTTGGTCGTGGCGGCTGCGGCAGTGGTGCCAATGGCGATGGTGGTGGAGGGGGAGGGATAGTGGTTGTGGTGACGGTGGAGGGGTGGTGTAGTAGAGGTAGCGGGGTGGTGACGGTGGGGGCTGTGGTACAGTGATGGTAGTGGATGTGGTGGTGAAATGATGGTGGTGCTATGGCAGCGGTGACGATGGTGATGCTATGGCAGCGGTGGCAATGGTGATGGAGGGTTGTGATAGTGATGGTGGAGAGGTGGTGGTAGTAGCTACGGCAACCATGTAGTGAAATGATGGTGGTGTCTATGGCAATAGTGCATGTTGATACTTATGCATAAGTAGTTAAAAATTTAATCATCATTAAGTAAAAATCGTGCTAGTTAAAATTTTCTTAAATTTTAGTCTACATTTTAAGAGTAATTTAGACTTTTAAGTGTTGTGAATTGTGGTTATCAAATAGACTTAATTGATTTTCACTTGAAACATTTAAATTTAAACACTAAGTTGGGTTATCAAACACCAGTACTAGTCAATGTCTCTTACCGTCACTTTAAAACATGAGGCCGATTCATGGATCCATGCACATTCCCGTATTTTCTTAGAATATTAAACAATGAAAGTTTTTATCATCCTAAGCTCCAGAACCAATAAAATGGTGTGCAGACAAGTTTGTTCGAGACACCTGCTGAAATTTACAGGCAGGTTACATCAAGAAGTTAACTAGTTTTCTTCTAATCAACAAATTTTAAAGGTGCCCTGGCATCCTCACAGTGAGGAATAAAAATCAAATTACATAAGGTAAACAAAACAAAACAAGTTAAAACTAAAAAGTGTGAAGTACATTAATCCATTATACCAAATATCACTAAAATTAAGCCATCTCTTTTTCGCCAAGCCTAAATAAAGCCAGCACTTGAAAAAGAAAATTAATCTATTTCTGATTAATACATATTCATTTTCTATCTGAAGATGATGCAGAAAAGCAGAATCTATGAGATAAGATTAATTTATGTCTAAGATGATAGCTTGTACCAACAGAAAAATTATGCATTGATTACACAAAATACAAGGATAAAGAACCTGCAGTGATGCTAGATTTCCTTCTGATAAAGCAGCCTGCTTCTTAAGCGCATCCATAGAACTGACAAGTGCCTCAATTTCAGAGTTCTTCGCAGCCAAAGCCTCACCCATGCTGGACTCCACTTTGGTCACTTCACTTTTGGCTGAAGACAAATCTTTCTGTAGCTGCTTTATGCGAACCTCATATGATTTACTGAGCTCTCTCTGTTATGGAGAACGTTAACTACTAAATAGCATTTCCTTAAAGGCAAACCTAATACAAGTGGAACTTTCAATTTCATTCAGGTCTCAAATTAAGAAAGGGGCATTGAATTTCACCTCTGCAGTGAGAAGCTCCTCTAATTGTGCATTTTCAGATTTGTATTCTTGAAGGCGTGACTGAAGTCCAGCACAAACCTAAAAATCATAAAGATAAACACTAACAGAGCATCCAAAAGGCAGAAATCTGAAGTGTAAAAAAACTTACATTGCTTAAGTTGCAAAGAAATTTATTCCAAAATTATTCAGTGAAGGTAAGAAAGTAGTACTGGAAAGAAGATACAAAAGGAAAGCCAAAACTTGAATCTCACTGCAGTTCACAGATGGAAGGGTAGTATGCACATACTCGAGCCTAAGTGTAACTTGTCAGCATTGCCATTCTAGCAATGGGGTTAGCTTTGTATAAACATATATGTATGTAGACACATGTATACATGAGAAAACCATGAATAGACTGAAATGATGTATGTAGTTTCAACCAAGACAGCAGAGAATGTTGCAAGGACTTCCAAAAAGTACAGAGCTCATGCCATAGGCACATCAAGCCTGATACCTAACAGATTCCATCAGAAACACTTTATGTGGATAAGTTACAATGCCTGAAAATAAATGCCAAAGAACAATTAAGCTTAATGTATTTAATGCAATTCAATGACGGAACTACTGTCACATAAGCTATAGATAAATTTAGTTGTCAAACCTGTGGTAGATTCTGTTACACATACAACAATGCAACAGAGAATAAAACATATATTAACCTAATTTGACAAGGAAGTCAACACCTTTACTGGAATCTTTATTGGTCAGCTGGAAAAGTGGAGTCATACCAGTATTTTGGGAATCATCCCCATTAGGCGCTTTCTAATTAATTGACCTCGTCAAAATAAATAAATAAATAAATAAAATTTGTGGATCCATAACAGATTCACAAAGTCATTTAATAAATCGACTATGAAATGTCACAATGTTAGGGCTATCCTGATGACAACTTCCTAAGCTGGGAGCAAGGCCTCCTAGCTCAGGGTCACCAGAGGATTTGTAACTTGGTTGCCACAGTTAAATAGTCTGTCGAGGTGCCTCACCTTTCCCTCCCTTGAGGGGACCTGCAGCTTGGCCAATTAGAAAGAAAGAAAACCAAGGCACCACAACTTAGAAGGTGTATCATACCTATCTTATGCATCTCTCTTGATACAGCCCCCAAGGAATAACATACCTACCCCCAAACCGCCAGCCAACAGAAATAACTATCAGCAGAATCACTATGTCATTAGTGAAGTTCAGCATCTAAATGGAGGAAAAGACACTGGAGGCGGACGCTATATAAGGCATATTCCTATTTTTAACTACGCTTTCATTTTTATGTGTCAACTGTCAAAGCACTGCAATATTCCCTTTTCCTCATAGCTATAGAAAGCCATGCTTAGAGCCCTTTGCCCCTTTTTGTCTATGGACTGGGGACCGGCTCCTGTCTCTTCTGACTCTGGGGCTCGGTATTTCCTCAGTTTCATAGAGGATCACACTATAATTAGATGAAATGAAGTGTTGATAGTAATTGACCCCAATAGTAATAACGTAGGACTGGTAAGGATTGATTCTTACCCGAGCTAACCTTGCCTCTTTTGATTGACCAGTGGAAATTGCAGTTTTAAGCAGCCCTTGAGCCTGCAACAAAACTAAAGTTAATATTCAATAAAAACCCCACATGGCAAACATTTCAGAAGATTTAAAGCTCATGAAATAACGAAGTTAGCATATATGTTTTTCCCTGTAATACATATTTTACCTCATCAAGTGCGTCTTGTACTTTTATGGGAGAAGAATCAGCTTTCTGCTCTTGTTGTTTCTTTTGATTGGAATGAGGTTCAACCTTGAGATCAGCATCTTTCAGTTGCATATGAACTTTACTAGGTGCATCCACACTAATAGATTGAGACACCTCCTCATCAATTTTTGTAGGGGTACCTGCATCTCCAACCCTTATATTTGAACTAGAATCAATTGGAGGATCTTCATGGACGACCTCAACACCTTTGACAGCGATTGGTGAGGAGGAAACCCCCTCATGAACATCAGAAGAATCCTTGTTGGTAAGCTCGTCATTTGAAATCAAAGCATTTGCTTCTACATGGGGAACAGCAGCTGGCGCTTCCTCATGAACAGCGTCATGTTTCGCCTCTTCATTCAAGATTGATTCAGATAAAAGAGAGCCTGATATGGAGCCATCTTTCTCAACATTGTGTTGCTCCTCATTACTCTTTTGGGCATTAGAATTACTAGGACTAGTTCCATCATTTTCAATTGAGAAAACAACCCTATCTTTATCAGGCGCCACATCTGATTGTAATGTTTCTGAACTGTTTTGCTCAATTGAGGTATCAATTGTTTTAGCGGTTTCATTTGAGGAGGGTCTCTTTTGTGCCTACAAATGACCTAATTGTTATACAAGCCATACAATTCAAATTGTTTGTGACATGAATATATCAAAATACTACCCTAAGGCTAGAAGAACAACTGAAAATACCTTGGCTTTGGCCTTGGCCTTTAACCTTGTCCTCTTTGTTTGAGATCCTTGTCCATTAGAAGCTTAGTGGTTGAAAAAGGAAAAGCAGACAACAAAAAAGCACAAATCAACTACATGCACCAGCTATTTTCATTCAAAATAAGTGAAGTCTTTTCATAGTTGATATTGCACATCATGTTAATTTCTATATCAGTCATATGCATACAAAAGACATTAAGGTGAAATTATTGGAATTTGTACCAGAATACCAAGCCTATGACATCTTCGTCCACAAAAACTAAATAAATTGGTGAAAAAAACATGATGGTGGAAGTCAGTTCAGTAGCCTGACACTGTTTATTAGAGGAAGATTATAATAGATACAAATGATTCATTGAAAGAATCTGAGATCTATACCTGGCAATAGAGAATTTATCTGCTCATCTGGATTATCGCCGACAGCAAGCTTTGCCCTTCGATCTACAACTTCAAATAAATCTGATGCAACATAATTATGAACTTTTCAATTCTTGGAGTTCATAATATGGTATAACGCAAAATAATCAAATTTTATTCATTACAAGAAGCAATGTTGATTCATAGAAAGGCGTAAGACCACATTAAAAACAAACATAAGAATGCAAGTCAAATATGTAAATATCCAAGAAGCGTGGATACGGACACGTGACACAACACGGACACGCCGACACGCTAATTTTCAAAAAATACAGGACACGACATATGAGGGACACGCGTGAAATATATAATTTTATATATTTATTATATGTTATATATATATGAACATATCATTCAAAGATAATAAAAAATATAATATGACACTAATCCCTATAAATTTATATGGTTTTTGTTTTATTATTATATCTTAAGTTGTTTTGTTTAAAATTATAATTAGTTTTACATGTGTCTAATCAATAGACACGTGTGTTTAAGAGATATACACGTGTGTTCTCTAAGTGTCCAAAGAGTGTCCAGGTCTTTAAAAAATAGGATACGTTTTGAAGAGTGTCGGACACGTGTCCGGAAAGTGTCTAAAGAATGTCGGTGTCCGACACGGACACGGACACGGACACGACACGGTTATGTTACCTTCTTAGAAGTGTCCGTACTTCTTAGGTAAATATAATATACAAAAACTACTATAACTTATCAAATTACCCATCAACAAATTACAAAACCCTAAAGAAACTTACCACCTCACAGAGCTAATGGAAATTCCAGCCTATAAACCATATTGCAAACAGAATGCTACACAAATGAAAGGCCAATGAGGTATGAAAAGCTTCTTCTATTCAATGGAAAATTCTAAGAAAGCATTACCAATATAAAGAATTGGTGAAAAAATTCAAAACATTAATCAACCAAAATTCGCCTACACATTCCATGATTTGAAGAAGATGGGAGGAATCTCGCAAGTTTTTCTCAATTATCTTAATTAAAATGGATGTAGAAGATCTATCAGCCATGTAGATAGAAAAATAAAGTTTTTAGCACGTCATTAATAGATAAATCCCTGTAAATCAAACTTTTTAATGCTCTTTTCAGGGTAACCAATTACCACAAAAAAAGAGTACCTTAATCATCTATGATCTAGGTTGACAGTCCAAGAGTATCTTCTGAATCACCCTCTATGCAGTGGTCTTAGCAAACATTAAAAAATAGCTAGTTAATCAAATCTTATAAACCTGCACTAACAAGCACCATCCTCTCAAACCTTAAATTAAGTGAAACTCATAGTCTACAACTCTACCCTTATCGTGCTCTATTCACCCTTTATCATCAAAATCTTACGATTTGCGATTCGATTCACGATTCATGCATAAATCGGTACGAATTTATGAGTGAATCTATTTTGAAATATAATTTATAGTGAATTGCACGATTCACAATTGATAAATGATTCAATTTAACTTTTTATGATTCATGCAAATTTTGAAGCTATTGCGTTTGACATATTTTGACTCCTTTTATATTTGTTAATGAAAATGACATTATACAACTTCTAAAAGTCTTAACCTCTTCTAGTTATTTTTTTCCCTTAAAAAAGTCATAATACATCTTCAAAAGAAATTTAAGGTTCAAGTAACAAGCACTCATGAATTATCTATTGTTATTTTAGTGAAATAAATATGGTTTAATATTACATAGGTGAAGTTAGTCAGACCCACTTGTTCAACAAATTTTTTTAAAACTTTTTTTAAATAGTAAGCATACATACCTTTTAAAGTGCTTTATGTCTTAAAATAAAGGATTCTATTCTATTTAATTCTTTCTTCTTATTATACACTAGATAAGGTTTCTAGGTCCACTTTTTTAATGTCAAGTGAGATTATGTTATATTTTTTAACAATTTTATGGTCAGTGGGATTTAAACATATATCTCTTACTATAACGGCAAAGTTCTCCCAATTAGACAATGCAATCATGTCCTTATATAAGAACTATTTTATAACAAAACAAATCAATTTTTTTTATTTATTTATTTATTTATTTATTTGTATATATGATTGTTTAACATTAATTTTTATAATTTGAATTGAATCTTAACAATTGTCGATTTGATTCGATTCATGATTTACAAAATTAAGATTTCAATTCATGATACGCTTCTCGATTTGACAATTATGATTTCACCTACTAGAACCAAGGTTGGCCCTGAGTTTTATAGCGCTCTAAGTGAACTTCCAAGATGGGGCTGTTTTATATATTTACTAAAAAAAGGTTTGAGGGTAAAATGGTAAGCTAAGTAGCCACAATTTTTTTTCTTTTCTAGTACCCACATAAAGTTTACTTGCATATATAATCACTAAAATTATAGACTAGAACGAACTTAAATTAAACATGAAGAAATCATTACAAGAATTTAAAAAGTAAAAAATTGGTTTTGTTGCTTTATAGTTTAGCACAAACCCGTTTACAAAAAATAAATAAATAAAATACCAAACAAATTCTAAAGTATAATAACAAATAAAAATTGGACCAACTGCAGCAAAGTATCACTTAAACATTACTTTTTGCATATTTTTAGTTGCAAAATTACTAATTAAGCTTGCATAATCTAATTAGATTAGGCCTATTTTTGACCTACTACCTTAAATTATGTAGAAGCCTTATTTGTATATAGAATTTGAGTCCCATGGCAGCCTTGGTGGTCTGCTCTCAGGGCCGGCATTGACTAGAACAAACAATCTTGCAGTTAAAATGGCACATGTTAATCATAAACAAGGTTAGTAAACATTTCTTCACCCAAAATAAATCACCAAGTAAAATCAATATGCCAGAATTTCGCCATGTTTCCGACAAACCAAATGTATTTCTCCACCTCCTCCTCCTCCTCCTCCTCCTCCATGTTTGTGTAGTAGTAACCACTATTTTCCCAGCTCATCACTATTCCAGCCATGAAGCTCCATACCAAAGTAATTCTCTTATTTTAAAGGTTTCATTTCTCACCAAAAGTGGTAAGATTTTGTGAGAAATAAGCTGATTGATTGTGTATGTGTCACCCATATCTCTATATCACATTCTTTGCTTCCGGAGTCATCCAAACATAATAGTGAAAAAACACAATCTTTTTTTTTTTTTCTTTTCTTTTCTCACCTAGATGAGAGACCACAATCATTTCTTTTATCTTAACCCACGATCCAAATGGAGCCTTAGTCCAATCTAAAAATATACTGGGAAAATATTGTTGATATTTTTCCAATAGTTCCCCAAAAAAGTTCCCTAACTAATATAATCATCAGCCACCTAGGAACTAAGTTATTTACCTAAACACGAAATTGCCGAAGTGAACACACGGTGCATATTAGGAGAAATTACAAATGCAGCTAGATCCGCAACACCCAACCAAAATTAACCAGGTAATAATATGAAGCTCCATACAAAAATGGATCCATCAAGATACACATTACATTACCTATATCCCATCAAAATCAAAATTAAATAAATTCAATCAAAAAATGCCAAAATCTGCATACATACATAAGTATGAGGCCCATTCCACCAAAGATCAGACTCTATATATATCAAACACACAAATGCACCATAACCATATGCATATATATATATATATAGAGAGAGAGAGAGAGAGCATACCTTCGGCGGCTTTGAGCCACGCAGCCATGGAAAGAAAAGAATTCGAATTCGAAACCGAAACAGTGGTGACCTAGAGATCTATTGAGGTGAAAACAAATGGAGCGAACATGGAACGGGGTTTCGAATTGAGAATCGACTGTGCTTAGAGCTTGATTGATTGATTGATCGATTAGGGGGTTGATATGAAGAGATCAGGAGATTTTGGGGGGTTTGTTGGAACCCAAAAACCGCTGGGGCGATTGCTTGATTTGGGGTTAGAGTCACCACCTGACACACAACATGAATTTTTTTTGTGTTTCAATCGGGGTGAGTCGTTAGTTGGAAGGTTTGCTTGTGTATGTTACAATCCAATCCAATCTAAGAAATAACACTTTAAAAACAAAAAAGTTGTTACAAAATAAAATAGGATTAATTACTCTTAACTAATAAATATAGTAGAATCAATTACAATTTGCTTTTTTTTAATATTTAGTCATTTTTTTAATTTTAGCTCTTAATTTTTTTTAAATTTTTTTTTCTCAATTTATTCTAAAAATTAATGATATATTGATAGTCACATTAAATAAAAATATTTTCAAAAAATTACAAAAAAAACTCATAAAATTTTATCTTTGCAACAAAATAAATCCTGAATTTTTTATTTTGTCAGTGTAAATCTTAAATTTTAAATTTATTTTCAATTTAAACCATTTACATGTTTTCATTAAGTAAAATCATCAATAAAAAAAGAAGTATTTTAATCATTAACTCAATAAAAAAATAATATTTTAGACGTTTTATTATATTTACATTGAGTTTAATAATTAAAATATTATTTTTTATTAGTTTTATTTGATAAAAATAGGATAATGGTTTAAATTGGAAAAAAAATAAAATTTAAATTGATAAAATTAAAAATTCGAAATTTATTTTGTTAGAATATTCAAACTCTATGATTTATTTTGTAATTGTTTCAAATATTTAATTATATATAACTCATACTGACACAAATGCAAAACCTAATATAATAATTTTTGTGTGTTATATAGTAGTTAATGTAGCATTTTTTATTTAATTTTAAACATAAGTTAATTTTAAAAAAAAAAACTTGAAACGTGAAATGTAAGATTGAGAAATAATATAAATTTTAAAGATCAAATGAAAAAATAACGAAACGAACAAATGTAATTTATCCAAAAAGAAATTGATGCTGAGTTGGGCTTGAAAATTGGGCTTATAAGGCCTTACGAGCTATTGTCCATGGTTTGGGTCCAGATACTTTGATCTCATTGGGTTTCTATTCTACCCATTGCTATAAGAGTTATTGGGCTCATAGGGCCATACCAGATATTGCCCAAGGTTTGAGCCCAGAGATTTTGATATCATTGGGCTTTCTATTCTGTCCGTGTTATATGAGACTTCAGAAACCAACCAGACTGAAAAAAAAAAAATAATAAATAAATAAAAAAATTTGTGTTTCTGCATTTGGCTACATAAAAAAGAAAAAATAGTGGTGGATCTGTATTAGGATTTGTATTTGGGTTAGTATGATGGGTTGTTTAATTCTTTCCAAATAACTTAAACTACATCAAACTAACCTACTGAAACTCAATTCAATTTCTCAAATTTCAAAAAATTAAGGGCAAATTACATATACCTCCCTTGAGGTTTAGCTAAATTACAGATACCCCCTTGAAGTTTCGAAAATTACAGATACCCCCCTGAGGTTTATATTTTCATAACAATTTATCCCATGAGATTTATATTTTCATAACAATTTGTCCTCTAATTTGTTATGCAAATAGTACCTTCAGGGAGTATCGGTAATTTCTCAAACCTCAGGGGATATCTATAATTTTGCTAAACCTCGAGGAGGTATATGTAATTTGCCCAAAAATTTAAACCTTCATTTGCAACTATTTTTCTTCTTCTTTTTTCTTTGTTTGTTTGCTAGATTGAATCTAAAGTAGTAAACAAAAAAAATTAGATTAACCTGAAAAAAAAAAAGAAAAACAAAATTGTTCCCATTATTCTCATTTTAGTCTTTCGTTTATCTCAGTTGGGTCACATGAAAAATCCCACAAAAAAATTGTGATTACACTATAATTATATATCTATTTTTTTTTTCCCTTTCAATTTGTAGCCAACCAATATTCCAAATTGAATTAAGTACTGAAAGGTGCAATTGTGGAACCAAGACTATCACATGAAAACAAGCCTTTTAATCAATAAGGAACACTCTAGTCTAGAGACACCCGCCCTTTTCCATCATCCATCAAAGTAGTGACATTGTTTGCTAATGATGGATTACCAGGGCGGCTTTGGGCATAAGCTGGCCAAACCGCTGCTTTGGGTTCCGTAAAATTGAATAAAAAAGTTCTCAAAATTTTATTAATTATTATATTGGCCTATAAAAAAAATATCTCATTGAAATTCAAAGGATCTCGACAAAATTTAGTTATGATTTAAAATTAATAGATGATTGATATGACAAATTATTTAAAAATAATAGATTTTTTTTAATTATTAGAAGAAAAAAAAAACTTATTAATTTGGTAAATTATTTGAAATTATTGAATGGTTATTTTTCAAATGTATGAATTATATATAGAATACGATTATATGTCAAATGAAAGATTAAGACTAGGTTTGGCATAACCTATATAATCCATCTTTTTATCTTTTTATCTTTTTTTCATCACATCACCTCTCTACTTTTCTGCACATCTTTCCGTAAAAAGACAAAAAATACACTTTTTTAGGACACCCCAAACCAACCCTAAATATATTAGTAATTTTATTTATAAAAAATGAATAACTTATAAGTTCGATTATGGGAACTAGATTAATAATTTTATAGATAAAAATGCCAGAAAAATGATGTTACAATTTGTTTACTTTTTATTTGATTCTTCAGTTTAAATTATTTTGATTATTTTTCTTATTGTAAACTTTAATGTATATTTAAATAAATTTTAATAGATATATATATCTGAAAGTAACCTTTTTCACGAAAAGGTAAAAGAAAAAAAATAGACACATAATTAAAGTTGGCTTTGGCCTGGGAAAAATCATAGTTAGGAGTGTAAAAATGGTCCGTAGCTCGAGATGGATCCGGCCTGTTTGGGCCTAGGCTTGAGCCCAGCTTGAGCCCTTGGGCTAGGGCCTGGGGCTATCGTTTTGAAGCCCGGCCCTATATATATATGAAGACTCCACCTCAAAAAATTAAGTCTGAGCCGATCTGAGGATTAGTATACCTTAAGCTAAGATCTACAACCACAACCTAGTTGAAATATCCATCCCATCTACCACTTCATCAATAAAAGTCCATCAACGTCCATACGCCAATCATGGGCCATGAAACCATGGATGTGCTTTGAATCATGGTAGTATATATATAGTTAGATTACATTATTGTTATCACTTTTGAAGTTAGAAAAAATATATAGATTTCACAATTTTAATATAATTATGTAGATGATATAGAGATATAAATAAATAATATGAAATGTATATTTTAATGTGAAAGATATAGTTATATTATTTTCCTATCAGTAAGACTGAAGAATTTCTAATAAAGTAGAGGTTCAATGTTAGATAAATTAAAACTTTAAAGGACCCCGATAGAATTATGCAAAACTTTGGGTATTACGTTATTAGTCTATTTAGTTTGAGTCAAATTTCACTTTAATTTCTGAAATTTCAATTTCATCAATTTAGACCATAGTTTCAATTTTGTTTACATATGGTCCTTCCGTCAGTTATTGTTAACATTTTTGACGGAAAACAACACATGCGAAATAAGAGGAATTAAGTGAAATTCAAAAGAAACCCTAAGAACTATTGATATAAATTATTAATATTATTTTATTGTAAAGGAATTGTTAAAATTTCTACGTTTCAGGTGGCATTTTTTCCATTAAAAATTGTAAAGACAATTGATAAGGGATCGCATTAAACAAAATAAAAAATGCGAGGTTTAAATTGATAAAATTGAAGCTAAAGGGATTACAATAAAAATTTGTAAAAATTAAAGGGACTAACAGTTTAAATTACTTTCAACCTATCAAATACAAACACAATTTCCCCTACAAATTAAAGCAAAACAATAATTTGGCCATGACCTGAAAAGTGTCATGCAGTTAAATAATATATATATATAATTTTGTTAACGAGTTCCTTAAAAATATTTATTTAAAAACTTAAAAAATAATTATGTACTTTTGGATAAGATATATTTGTAGTGCCTAAAATTTATCTTTTATATGTATTTGATCCATATAGTTTTGATTAGGTCAATTTTGCTTTTTAATTTTTTTTATACCGTGTCAATTTAATTCCACTTGTTTAAAAATTAGATAAAAGATCAAGGGTTATATTTTTACTTTTAAAAGGAAATAAACTAGTTCAAGTTAGACCATAACCCCTCAACGAAAATGAATCAAGAGTAAAATGATGATTTCAAAAGGAAATAAATTATTTCAAATTAGATGATAATCTCTCATTCATTTTTATGAGAGTGAAATGAACTAGTTCATCGGTTGATTTTAATACAATTTTTAAAAGGATATTATCAATTAGATTAAATTCATACAATAGGAAGAGTTTAATAATAAAATGATACAAAATTAGAAGAATCAAATTAATCATATAAGAGGTAAACTAGAAGATTACAACTACTATGTCTTATATTCTTTATTGAATCGATTGTCGTATAACGATTTTGAACATATCTCAATATTTTCATTCATTGCATGAACAAATGATTAATTGGAAAAGCTTTGCGTGCCAAGTATGAATCAATGTTCATATGACACGAGTCATCATCTATTTTGAAGCTTTAAAAAATTTTAAAAATAACATTCACAGAATGTGAATGACAATGTGTTTTTGGTAACGAGAGTTATGGTCTCTTTTGGGAAATGAGTTGAAAGTTATTTTTTAATTTTTAACTTATTTTGGATTATATCGTGTTTTATATTTTTTACATATTTTTTTTTCTTTAAAAATAATAAAATAAAAAAATAATCTTTTAACTATTTTTCTAAAATAACTCTATATAGCCTTTTGTAGAGGATAAACATTAAAACGAGTTTATCATTAAGAGAGAGAGAGAGAGAGATCCATTTAGTGCTTGATAGAGACTCTTCTTTAATCATGGAGTTGGAGCACTACCACCACAATCTTCCCACCTACTCTTTGTTAGAGTCGCTTTCTCCGCTAGCCTTTTTCTTCATGATTTAAAAGCCAAACAACACGTTATTTTACTTCCAACCTAAGTTCTCTATAAAATTTGAATCAATAATTATATACTGATACAGAATCAATCATTAATAATAATAATAAGAAGAAGAAGAAGAAGGTGTTTGG